TCTAATCACTGATAGCAGTGAGCCGCAATTAGAAAAATAAACCAAGTAATTTAACTACATTATATGCAGGCAAAATGTTATAAAGATGCATAATTCTGGGATTTTCTTATCTTCATATTCTCACAAGTCCAACAAAATGTTGTTGGATTGAGCGGTCAGCTTAACTACGGAGAAAAAGGCGAAAAGGAAAGATACTGAAATATTGAGATAAAAAGAAACAACTCACTTCTCATTTGAGGGCTCTTTGCGAAGTACTTCCGGTGCCATCCACTCAGGCTGAAACATAAAAGGTAATCCAATCAGAAACACAGAAAGAAAATTAATAAAACTGAAGCTACATATTCTATCTATATCTTCAGAATTTATAATATATTGCACACCAAGCTAAAATACTAACCGTTCCGGTAGTTGATTTAGATGATAGGAAGGTATTATGTTTCAAGCGTGACAACCCAAAATCACAGACCTGCACGGTTCAGTTTTGCAAACAATCAGAGCCTGTCTATATGGATGATAGGAAGGTATTAGGCTTCAAGGGTGCATTGTAATAACAGGCCTGCTGTAACCAATCCGTTTTGCAATGATCACAGCAAGGTCGAGACTATTAAACATAGAAACATCATTTATCTTTACATTCCAGTTTTTATCAACTAAAGATTAGGAGACTTCAAATCACGGTGAATAATAGTAGGTATGCTAGTGTGTAGGCAATTCATGCCCCTTGCCTGTAAAAAGGAAACAGATATGAATATGCTGATCACATTTTTTTTTATAGGAATAGGAGGCCTCATTAAAAACCTCCCTCTTAGTTAGCTCTTATGAAGAGGTAACTAACGGAAGGAGGAAAAGAGTGCCTCAATTTATCGATTAACCATAATTACATAAGAGTACACCTTACAAAATATCCGAAATAAAACATAAAACATTACAACCATAAGACTGCACACATTCAACCAATGCCCTCCTTAGCTAACTTATCTGCCTCCCAATTACAACTCCTAGGAATCAATCTAACAATAATCTCCCTAGCAGAAACTAATGCTCCAAGTTCCTCAACCAAAGACATGAAAAACGTAGGGGCAGAGAACGGTGCCAAAATCCAGTCCACTGCAGTTTTACAATCACTCTCTATGATAAGTCTTCCCTTCAAAGCCCATTCAGAAGAAAGGAAAAAATCAATACCTTCTTTAATGGCTTTCAACTCAGCCAAAGTAGGAGGACCTGGCCCAACAGCAATAGAGAATGTGGCTAAAGAATATGCTGATCACATGCTAAGTACAAAAACAAAAACGACTGTTTTTAATTCCATACCACATCAAGAGCCATCTTAATTCTACGCTTCTCGTCGATTTGTGGATGAGGACGATGAATAATCTTATATAAACTTCCTCTGGAAAACCAAATAACATTTACAAAATTTAGAATACCAAATATCATCCACACTTATCACACAAATACACATACATGCTGGTAGCCATAGATTGCCAGTCTCATATTCAATCTATATTACTTGGCATAAAGTTCAAATCATTAAAAGATAAGTAGAGGATATGCAGGAACAGATTCTTACCTAAGAAGGAACTCGGTAATGATAGACAGGTTAGGAGGGCGAGTAACAGCACCCATAAAAAGAACAACATTTCGATGACGCAGTCTACGCATTATTCGCACCTAAAGGAAAAGAGAAACATTTTACTATCATTTTGAGACAGCAATTTAAATGCTTTAAAGTTGCTTACTTCTCTTTTGAACTCGGCCAAAGCAGCACCTGAAAAACCTTGGTCTAGGAACTTCTTCACAGCAACCTCCTGTAGTCCGATAACCATTACCACCCACAAAACTAGAAACTACTTGTTCTTTCAATTTTGCAAAAACTCTTAAATAGTCTGGTGCAAAACACATTTAGAAAAGTATATCCATAGTCCGATTCAAGACAGGGCTAAAAGTTTAGACTATTAATGCCTTTGGAAAATAAGTTTCTAGATAACTGAACTTAATTAACATTAAACAAATGCAGCACAAGTGAACCGTGATTGACTGAGTATTAAAAGTTTAAACTAACCGGGCCATTCCAATCAGCATGATAGACTTCTCCATAGGAGCCTACTCTCGAAAAGACAAAATTCAATAGAAATTAGATAACTTCCAAAAAAATGTAAAATTTCTAGCAAAGCTAGCACCAGAATTAGTTATTCTATTTAAATTCTTATGGTTTTCAAGAAGAATGAGAAGAGATCTTGAATAGAAAAAAAGGGGAACAAACTACAAATAACAAACACAGCTATACAAGTAACGACTGATTCAACATTTAATTCGTAAAAATTTGATCTTTGCATAACAAAATTGTCACATTTATTGAACTTCAATGAGTCAAATCCATTACCTAGTCCAATTCTTTCACCAATATCCAAGTCTTCCCAAGGAATTTCACATTCACCCATCTACATCATCAAATAGTTGATGATCCAACTGATTAGGGGTCACTCTGTTAGATAATTCAGAAGAACTGACACCAGAATCGAAGGATGAGCTAGGACTTTCGATATCCTCCAATTTGAGATTATTTCCCATATATCAATCATGGGTGTACTTTCTATAATTATCAAAATCAATCTCATTATCTGACTCTTTAACCAAATCCCCTGTGTTATTTTGAAAATCATGTTCGTTCAAGACATGAGCCTTAAATTTAGTGTTTGCATCCTCAGCCAGTTGTGAGCTACTGAATTGACTAGTAGTGGATGCCAAAGATGCGCTAGTATCAGACAAAGGATTGCGGACTTTATCATTTCTATTCAGCATATCCAAGCCAGCAGGTGACTTAAAACCATGAGAATAGAGCTTTTCAGGTTTGCTGGAGCTGGAGGAAGCTGCTGATGACTGATTAATATCATTAGATTCACGATTGACTTTTGGAAAATGGCCCTCCATATAATTGTACTTTTTCTGGGACACCTCATTATAAACAGGCCGATTCTTCCAAATTAATGGTACTGGGGGTCGACCCACTACATTATTTGGTTGTCTCTGAAACTCATCAACTTTGGTCTCTGTAGATTTATTCTGATGGGAAGTTTTGCCTGCCCCTTTTATCTGGAATGGATAAGATCTACGAAAAGGTTTTTTGGGTCCTCTTGACTACTCTGACCATATGGCACCACATTAACATTCATCCTTTGGCCATCACCAACTACATTGGCAGCACGACTGCCTTTATAGACTAAAGTTCCAATAGCAGTCGAAGGAAGGTGGTCCAACTGATTAGGAGTCACTCTTTTAGCTAATCCAGACAAACCAACACCAGAATCATGACTTGGACCTGATAATGAAGGCAGCACTTCTGCACTTCCAGAACTGGACCCCCAATCAAAGGGCTTACTGTTATTGATCGCGGGATGATGACTATGACCTTCAACTTTAAGTGGCTTTTCTCAAGAGTAAACGTCATCAGGCGACTGAAGAGTTGGTATATTGTTAATTATTGGATTGTACGACTTAAAAGTAGTGTCTTTTGCACTTAAAATGTCAGCAGGTATAAGCGTACCAGGAGCTGCCATTAGATCAACCAAAAATTCCCTGGAGAAACAGAAATACTAGATTAGACCTAAATAAAAGTAAAGATAGCAGGTTATGAAATAAGCAGAAACTATAACCTTTCATCCTCAAACTTTACTATATTTACAGCATCATCCTCAACGCCAGTGAAGTGATTTCTCTTTACCAGTCTACAAGGTTTTATGCTATCTGCCAACACCTAAATCAGAAGGACACAAGTAAATTACATATAAACCTTGCAAATAGCCCTATTCAAAAATCAAAAACAATAAGTACTTGGAACAACCATGAAAAGAACAATGTTAAACCATCCAGTGAGATAATAGTTATTTTGGAGTTTGAGAGGCAGGCAGTTTCCGTTTACAGGAGTAAAGCCACTCTGGAAGTAAAAGGACTCACCTTGAAGAGCAAAGCACGATGCCGAGGCAGGCCTATATTTATTGAACCAATAGGCAACACACTTGTATGAAGAGATGTTCTGAGCTCAGTGCTTCTTTCCATCCACTTGGACAAAATCATATTAGCATCTTTAACAGGTCCACCCATATGTCCTGTTACAAGTTCAGCAAGCCTTTGAACTAAAATACCTACATTAGTAGAAGGGCAATCTAATGAAATACAATGCGCAATTTGCAACAACTCCTCTAGGGCTGGGTCAATTGTTCGTTTGACAATTACAACTTCAAAGCTAGAATTTCCGAGACTCGCTTCAAGATCGGTAAGAGATGGCATTTTTCCTTGGGTTCCTGAATCAGTGGAAAGCCCATAAATATGATAGAAATCATCCACCACCCTTTCCTCATAATCAAGCACATTGTATTCCTAGTGGACCAAAATAGCCCAACCAGTCAATCCAAATTAGATTACTCAAGAGCTAGCAATAAATGACAGGAATGGAAGACTCATTCAGTTCAAGTAACCGTATTCAAGTTCCAAACAGTAAATTGCTATATTCCCAAGGTTTAGCATCAATCCAAATCTAGTTATAGAAGCAGCCAAAATATTTTTGGATTTAATTAAACCAAATAAATCATTATCCAAACATTGGAAGAAATTGCAAGACAGCCTGGATAAAGGGCAAAATACCAAATATCAACTAAAGCAAAACAAGACATAAAGGAAGGCTATGACTAAGAACACATAGGAGCATCCTATCAAAGAAAATTTAAACCACTTCTCTTCAGTTTATAAAATATTTCTGTTAATATTAGTATCCTTCAAGGTCTTCAAGCTACTGATTAAATCCTGAATTTGTAACATTGATCGTTAAAAAAAAAAGAGGTGATAGCTAAAGCTCATTCACATGAATGCACCATGGTTTAGCTTCCAGGTATTTCATTCCTTGTTAGCAAATCATGGAAATTCTATTTTTGACCAAACGAAGGTATGAGAAAATTTGTATAAAATACAATAATTCTAGTAGAGACACACGTTTGCTCAAGAAACCAAAATAAAACCCAAACCATAGCTTGCCATATTCAATCAATCCAAAAATGAATCTTTAGCAGCAACTGAATGCCCCTGATTCAAGCCATTGGCTTTAATTAGATTTACCAAATTTTCAGTTCAACCCTCAAAAAAGATCAAGCAAAAGAAGAGAAATAAATTCCAAGAAACAATATAAGGTGGTAGATGCTATTTCCAGCTTATCCACCGCAGTTTCACAAGCAAGAGTCCATAGCCCACTTCATCATCAGATCAAAAACAGACAAAATAACAACAATCACTGTCGACTTCCATTGTTCAAGTAAAAGCACTATTAATCCAAGCTGTTCCACTGAAATTCAATACACGAACTTGTCCTAATTAAACTACCCGATACTTAACCAGTTGAACAGACTAAAACAAGCATGATTCAAGCTCATGCAGTCCAATTCAACCTTCTAAATCATGAGAAAACCAAACTGAAACACTTACCCAATACTGCCTGGCCAAAGCCTCAGCTGCCAAATCACCCGTATCCCTCCCTACCCCTAAATCCATCTGATGATGACCCCCTAAGCTCAGAAAATCCGTCTCTCGGATCTGATCCTTCTTTGGATCCTCCGAATTGGAAGCGCTTATAGGTAGGGCTAGCTGAACCTGACACTCTTCCTCCGGGATAACATATAATCCGACGCTCGATTCGTAACAGTCACGGCAGATGACGGCGTACTGAAACCCATACTCAATGGTACAGACAAAGCCGAAGTTGTCACCGGCGATGACGACGTAGGACTCGCCGGAGAGTTATCAGCCGCGGCGCGTGGATTATCGGCGAGGGGAGACGGCGCCGTTTCGTTTGGGGAAGACCGGTTACGATCGTAACTGCCGCCTATGTGTAGCTTCTTAAAAATGTGCTTCGTTTTCCCCCCTTTTTTTCATCTTCTTGGCTTCCTCAGTTTCCTCACTCTGCATTTTCTCTCTTACTTTTTTTTTTTGTGTAGAGGTCAACTGAATGTCGGGAAAGTGTAAGGAGGGAAACTTTAAAGCCCTTGTTTTGGTAATTTGGTATTAGAATGCCTTGGCAGGTAATAACACGGCTTGACTTTGGAATTATCTACGAAATTGCCCTTCATCATCATCCTTTGGCTACATGCCTTCGTTTAGGGATGGCCATGGGTCAATTTTTTTTTATACGACCCGATCCGAAATATATATCATCTATCCCAATCGATTTGATTTGAAAAGTATATTCTTTCATTCAAATTAGATTTGACCTGATTTATTGGAATATAAATCCGATCCGAATCGACCCACCATGATATAAAATAAAAACATAATTAAAAAAACTATAGAGATATTATAACAATTATTTATAAATTTATATGGAAAATTGCACTATATTCCTGGATTAAGTCGAGTCGAAAAATTTTCACCCTCCATCCGAACTCGACCCAACCTGACCTCACCTCTAAATAAAATGTGATCTGAACGGAACTTGAACTCGAATTTATTTAAAAAAATCTGATCTCATCGAATTAGATCTGGTCGAAATTCATCGATTTCGGATTAAATTATCATTCTTCATCATACGATGACCAACCTATGTAATGAGACACACTGGGATTTGGATTGTCACACGTGGAGTTAAAGTTCCACGTCATTTATGGGGTTAATAAATCTTTTAAATTTGTTAAATCTGTTTATTAATTTAATATTTACAAAAGAAAATGTATAACTTTAGTACATTGGAGTTGTCTATTGCTGTTACCGCTAGCCTCGTTAATGTTTTTACATAAAGCAAACATATAGTTTATTGAAAGAGAGAGAGAAATTATATATTTCAATTAAAAGAATTCAAAAGATATATACTTTTTAAATTATGATTAATATATATTGAACTTTTACTACTTATATAAATTAAAATTTGACAACACTCCAATAGAGATGTTCAAACTCCAAAGGTATAATTCCCTGATAGACATCCAAGTTTCATAAATTTTATTAAGCGATATTAATAAAAAAAAGTACTGATAGACATTCAAATTTTATAATTTAGGTACCAAACGTGTAGTTTACCCTTAAATTATTGGTCTAGTATGTATTTCAAATGATATTTACACCAACAATAATTCAAACACTAGCTGATTGTAATAACCAAATTGAATACAATAATCAAGCAAACTTGATTGTTTCATTCCGGTTGTAAGAAACCCTCCATGGCCATCTTCATTGCTTGAACTTAGCAGTATTTGTATCCACTACACCAGGATCAGCACACGAAAACAAAGCAGACCTGAAATAGATTGTTTAACCTGAAATCTGACAATAAAAGAAAATCTCTGGTCTTACCACACACTGGCTAATACAAAACAATCCCATCGTCAAAAGCTTTAATCTAGTGAAGGGATCACCTTTTAACACTCCATCATTTCACCTTCAAACACTGATTCATTACTCGAAAGCCATCAAGCCGATCAGCATTTTTAATCAAGGCAAAAAGGGGGGATCCAAGCAACGCGTCACAGCATATGAGAAGAGTAGGAAGGCAGCATTGGCATTGACTGTCAAACTTTAGGCTTAAGCTAATCATCTCTACCAATTTCATTAATGTCCTGCAGCAAATTATTAACTGTCAAAACTTAGAAATAAGAAATGAATAGCTTCTAAATCATCACACTTCATTAAAGCAACCAAACATTACATTAGGTGAAACAAGTAAAATTTAAAGGGTAATAAGAAATAATTACCATACAAATAAAAATTAAAGGGTAATAAAAAAATAGTTACCACTCTTTAAAGAATCACTGTTAGATATACTGGGACTGAGGGAGGAAATCACAACAGTGACTATGCTTCTATGAAAGGAACTTTTAGGGCCTGAAACATTTGAGTCAAAATGAAAGTGTAAGAGTTATTTTGATCATATAAGTAAAATATTGAGTTAACTAAAAAAGTTTATAAGGATTACCTTAATTTTCTTTAGTATTTATTGGATCTTCAATTTCACAATCCATGAAAATCCACCCTTTCAAAAGTCATCTCATCCTTCAATTCAAAAAAAAAAAAGTATAGCATATGAAACTATCTCATTGAAGGTAAGAAATACCATTTGCATTATATGTATATATGGCTTACTTTGTTCAAGTCATTGGGTATTAGAAGTTGAAGAAGTACTTTAGTGAATAAGTATAGCATATGAAACTATCTTATTTAAGGTAAGCGATTCTACATACAAACATTCTCACAAAATATTAATATTAATCATGAAAGAGAAGAGAAGAATAATAGTATTGTAGTTTTTTCCTAGCCGATTTCGAGCAGCGTCTGTAAGATATATGTGCATTATCAATAGACTAGGAAAAATTATGTACAAATACTACCTTGTAAGCGTACTACTAAACTTGACAAACTATTTCGTTTTTGGGTATACCCATTTTATAAACAAAACTTGAATACTACAAACAATTTGTGCTATATAAATTATGTATAAGAAATTAGATCCAAATGGAGTATGTTTACACACATCTCTTAAGTCAACTTCCTTGTGTTATTTTCGAATGATATGGCCCAAGAATTCGAACAGAGCCTTGATTACAGTATAGAAACTTCACCTTCCCTGGCCAGTTGTTATTGCAAATGGAATTGATGGGAAATGGAGCTAAGATGATGGAAGAAGGCTGTAGATGAGTAGTGTGCATTTGCAGATGGGATTCAGCATACCTGGCTGGCTTCCACATTTACCATAAATGGTATACATCAAAGGGTTTGAGTTTTCCTTTTTTTTTTTTGAAGAACCAAAAATAAAAGAAAGTAATGATCATGCACGACATCAAACCACCTACTCTTTTTCTTATTCAAAAAGTAGAATCAAGTGAAACAACTCATCCAGTTCTGGTACTGAATCAAAGTACATACGAGTTCTGTGTGAAAAAAAACTTGAAAAACGGACGCCCACCGTGGGGCTCGAACCCACGACCACAAGGTTAAGAGCCTTGCGCTCTACCGACTGAGCTAGACGGGCCATTTGTCTACATTCTGGTTTTTTTATTTAATAAGCTAAATACTATCATCGAGAGACCCAATCCAGCCACAACGTCTAGCATGTGAAGGCTTTAACGGAGCCATTGGATGCTTTCAGCTATGTTAATATCAGACATCCAATGCGATGTTAGCTCCCATCTTTGGAGGTTCAGTGACTAAAGTTCTATCCACCCATATATATATATATATATTATCTCTAATAATCTGTAAATGCTTCAGAGGCTGCAAACTCTAACCTTAAAGGAACAGCTTTACACGTAACCGCTCAACTAAGAGACTTCGATATCGAGCCATCACCAAACGTTAAATATATTTGGAAAAACGATCCTAAAGAGATTTCTTTTCAATTGAAAATCTACGTTTGAAACGGGTTCAGGAGTGTTGGTGCCTGGAGAATGTATTTCCAGCCTCAGTAGCTAGCCAGAGACCTAACTCCCACGACTTAGTGATGTAGCAATAGCTTGCTGCGCAGTGGAGGATATTGTTTCCAGACTCAAAGAGGGATCGGATTCAGAAACGACTCTCACCTTCGAGTTCGATCAGCTATCCTCCCCTGTGCTTTGGAGTGTACCGGAGCTGGAGTGTTTTAGCAGGTAAGCATACCAAAAAGTGACCTATGTTAAAAGAGTTGGCAGCATACGAGCGTGGGAAAATGAAGATGTTTGGTAACTTATCACCACTAACAATGGACAACTTGACTCCTCACCTCTTTCCTTGGTTGAAAAGGTATTTACTCTCCTACTCCCATTCAAATCTCAATATATTCCTCTGCTTTGATTTAGTTAAAATGTTTATTTTCTAAAGTAGGGTAACCCACACCATATATCACTAAACTATCGGTAAAATGTACTGCTTTGGCATCTAGGCATTTATTAGATTTGTTTAGTTTGTAGAAAAAAAACTTTCAATGTGTTCTCGGATTCTTTGTTAACATGACTAATATGAATGTAGTTTCAAAATTAATTTCAAACTATAAGATTAAAATTATTAGCGGATAAACCCGTCAAACCATTATTGAAACATGAATGGAAAAAACCCCATAATGAACAAAGAAAATAAATAATTAAGAGAATACACAAAATTTACAAGGCTCAATAAAATATTAACTACTACTCGAACACCACCAACGAATGATAATTTTAATACCAACTAAATATTACAATAAATAAAATTTCTTAGAATTCACAAAATAGAATAATAGAGAAAAAATAATATCTCAGAATTGCATATCCTTTAACTTGCTATAACACATTGACATTGCCAATGATAAATTCATGTGACATGCTATCCATTGTAACAACATATTTATTTAGTTTATCAACATATAAATAGTCATATTGATTTTATATCCGACATTATCACTAAAGATAATCATGATCCTCATGCAATATTAAAAAAAAAGTGGGTTGGCCTCTTCATCTTTTTCTAAAACTCTTTC